GCAGGCCGCACATGCTGCGCCCGCGCCGTCGTGCCGTCGCTCCTCTGTCTCTCTTGTTTTATCCTCATTCACTCAAAGCTGAAGATAGATCATACGTCATGTCTCTTGACAAGGATGGCATAGCATGACAAGTCGACGACAAGCTTTCACCAAGCCTTGATCGTCGGCCCGCCATCGTCATCAGACAAACGGTTTGTGGGTGCATCGTGCATCCTCACAACTGATTGACTGTCACTTTATCACTTCAGCTGATTCTCAGATTTCAGATTTTGGTTTCCGCTTCTCACCGCAACAAGAATACTCAACCAAATATCAACATCTGCAGCCAAGACGCCCGTGGATCACGAGCCTAACCGATAATGCCCACATGGCATGGCCTCGACTGGTCTTTGGTCATTGACTGTCCCTCGTGTAGCTCATTTCGGCGCTCCCTGAAAATGGCGGTGCCTATTAGTGAGTGACACCAGATCGCCACTTTCATATTCACTGAGGAGCTCCCATTCAAGCAATTTATGCCATTGGGCCAACTCAGCAGCCACGCTGATCAAATCTCTGCTCTTTTTTTCTCTCTTTCGCATTAATTGAGCTCCCCATTCCTGCAGTAGCACAAAGCGTCCGTCACCGATGCAGACGCAGGGTCTTTCCACGGTATCTTGGGCTGCCTATCCCAATATAGGCTGGAGTTGGGAAAACTCTAAGGCATTGGTGCCTTTTCAGTTCAGAATTCGAGGGGGTTGCTAGAGGAGAGAACTTGAAAGTGAAAGGAGTTAGATTGCTCATCAATGAAATCAAACTATTCACTTTGAGCATACATGCACCCTGGACAGCTCATCTCGTCCAATCCATGATGACTACCTTGGTATCCCTATAGGAACTGTGCGCGTTCCGAACAAAGCTACCTAGTATGTTATAAGAATTGAGATTTCATCACGTCGTTGCATGGATTCCTCCTCCTCAAATCTCTGTGACTGCAGCCGTTCCTCCCGGCCCCGGAACCAAATGCCCCTCCGATTCAAGTCGGCATCCGCTGTCGGCGTTGAACCCCTCGGATCTCCGGTCTCCGATCCCCGGCCGCCGTTGTTATCTCCCAACCCGTCACTAACGTCATCACCAGTCATGGCGACAACAATGGCGTAACACACGTCATTCCCCTGGACCTTTCAGACGACAACAACGCACTCTTTGATGCCCTTGGATCATGTAATGTTATTGACTTGCTAGCGATCCTGTCACACTCGTTAAGCTCGATTGTCATGAATTCTCCGGCGCAGACTTCCGGCTCCGGCAGCGCCGCCTCGCGTCCGTCCTCTAACCCTCGCGACGACGCACCTTTCACTTCGGAGGAGACACCTTTGCTTGCTGGGTCAAGCTCAAGCTCGAGATCAAGCTCCGCAGTGAAATTGAGTACGCAGAAGGATACCAATCCTCGTCATGTTGAGACTCAATCCAAAGTCCACATCCCACTGGTGAGGGGAATTGCGATAGGAGTGAGCTTGTGGCTCCTCATCTTCTTGACAGGTAAGAGCTTTATTCATCGCCCGCGATCTTCCTACTGTAAATTTCGCGATTTACTGACTCATCTGCAGCATGTAATATGTCTGGTATGACTCTGATTCAGGGCGCCATTGCATCTCAACTTGGTTCCCATGGCTCGTCTGCTATGTGGTTCACCAGTGCCTACCTCATTCCCATGTCTTCTCTCGCTCCTGTAGCAGGGCGCCTGGCAACCATCTTTCCACCCAGGACTCTTATTCTCCCCATTGCGGCTCTTATAGCCACGGGTGGACTGATCTGCGCCCTCTCGGCTTCGTTTGGTACGTTTGTTGCTGGCCGGGTCATTGCAGGCACAGGTGGTGCTGGGGTTTTGTCACTCGCCATTATTATCGGGCTGGAATTGGCCAGCAAGAAGTCGAGGGGTCTTGTGCTAGGCTTGATCAATGCGGGCTTTACTGCTGGTGTTTCCTTCGGTGCTATCGTATTCGGGGGTCTGATGCCAGTTGTAGGATGGGTACGTTGAACTCGTGTGGACTGAGGATTTTCGGCGCTGTGACTGACCGGCTATAGAGGCCACTCTTCTGGGGACAAATCCCTTTCGCTTTCGCCACGGGTTTGGGGGTACTTATCAGTATACCTGCTGCAGCAGAAGCACATGATACCAAGACTTCTATGAGACAGAAACTCGCACGGATCGACTATCTCGGGGCTGGTCTTTTGGTAAGCTTCGCACGCTTTTCTCTCACGGAATCGCCGCTAACTCACACTTCAAGACCACGTCTATTGTGCTGTTTCTCTACGCAATCGCAGATGAAATCCAAACAGTGCCCCTGTGTATCGCACCTGTCATCCTCCTGCTCTTCCTCGCAGTTGAGAACTACCTGGTAGCGGATCCCATCATACCCGTCAAGGTTCTCTCTTCGTGGGGTATCTTATTCTCGTGTTTCGCACAGCTGGGTCTTATGATAGCCCGTTGGAGCGTTTTGTTCTACGCGCCTATATTCATGCTTGCGGTTCAAGGCTCTTCCCCGGCAGCTGCAGGCTCCATCCTCATTCCTACAAACGTAGGATTTGGTCTGGGCGGCATCCTCGTCGGCTGGCTTCATGTGCGCCGAGACGGGGCTTTTTGGCTTCCCTCCATTGCAGCACTTGCCATCTTCACTGCGAGCACCTATGTACTCTCACTCATTAGCACCACGAGTCTTCCTCTTACTCTCTTCATCATAGTCGTGCTAATCAACGGTCTTGCGACAGGCGGGGGAGTCAACTACACCCTTGCGCATATTCTACACCTCAGCCATGATGACACCCGATACATCGCCACCAGTCTGCTGGGTACGTTCCGAGGCTCGGGTTCAAGTTTCGGCACTGCGGTGGCCGGCGGTATCTTCTACCGCTTACTCAGAGGAAATCTTGTGTCGGGATTCCTCCAGCTGGACGGTGGTGAGCATCTGAGTCATGCTCGACAGATGCTGGTGTCCAGCTTGGTTAACACGCCAGGGTTGGTGCACGGCGGTGACCTGAGTCCGGCAGAGCAAAGCATTGCGACAGAAGGCTATGCTGGTGCTACGAGAGGCGTCTGGCAGGCCATGGCCACGCTGGGAGGCGTGGTTGTTTTGTTTCAAGCTCTGACAGGAAAGAAAGCGCCTGACGACAAGCGGGAAGATGAGCAGCCAGATGAAGAAACAGCAAGGGCTGTTGTAGCTGAGAACGAGGGTGTCGGTGAAGCGTAAACCGTGGACCGTGAGGCCAAGGCCAAGGCGTTGAACTATCAAGATAGAGTTTGACGTTGGGGTGTCTGTTTGTTTGGGGTTTAAAGTATTTTTGGATACTTTGGGGGATGTTTCGAGGGGTTTCACCGATACAGTACATACGTATGTATGTCAGTTCATGACGCCATGACAGACAAGGCGTTTGTTTATAGAAAGCGCAAGTAAATACTCTACATACCTACATGTTACAGGTTCAACTGACAGTGTGTTCCAAAACATTGTTTACAGTTTGGCATTGGCCAACAAAAGTATCTTTGCAGTAGGGAAACGGTGACTCAAGCTTAGTAGCAAAACAGTCCAGTGCCAGACCTACAACTTTCTTGTGGTGACGATCACCACCGTGCGTAGGTACGGAGTATGTTAGTCAGTTATCATTAGGGATCAAACATTCGAGTTTCACGAGTGGGCATGATACTTTTATATGCTTGGTCTCATGCATGTCAAGTCCTATGCAAACTAGTAAGAAACTCTGAAGAGAAAAATTACATAGTATCTCTCCCGGGACGGCATATCCCGCAATTTCCATATATATATATGTATTATGCGACCTGACTGTCTGCCACCGTCCGATATTTAGTGGTGCATAAGGAGCTTGCATAACGTGGTTTAGTTGGCCGACACTATTCGATATGTGTGTATACCTTATGCTTTAGTGCACTGTCCTGCATGCTAGACCCCTGCTTAATCTCGCTATCAGGTCCCGTTTGGGACGAACCCATGGTTTGTGGCTCTGCGGGCCGGTACCCGTTGGTCGGGCCAATCGCTAAGCTTAATCGCATCCCACCCGCCACATGAAGCATTTACACGTCCCAGGCTCCCTAGAAATCAAATCGTCTCAAGTTCCAGCTCCACTTCCGTTGGACATTAATCAGTTTGATCCCAGATCCTGGCAATGCAACACCGTTAGAGAGCTAGAGAGATCTTGCCCGTCGGCACTAGTAAGGAAGCTTCTTTCAGAGTTCACACTTGTCAGAGCAACCAGATCTCAAGGTACGTAATGTGGCCATCTCTACATAGGTACTGCTAGCACTACTAGTAGCCTTGCTAACCTCAAGATCCTAAGGTAGATACTAACCTACCTCAGTACCTAGGTTACCATTGTCGCATCTTTCTTTCGCTCTCCTCTCCCATCCCAGCCCGTCTTTCTCACATACCAAGGTACGTACCGTTGGGCTGATGATCACTCAAAATAACCACGCGCTCCAATCCCACCCCTGAAAGGTTTCCTTAGAGTTTACAGGGCCAGCTTATTTTACCGAATCTTCAATGACAATCATGAGCCTCTAACTCATTACACTGTTAGTTCGCTGCTTGCACTGACTCGTGGTGGAAATAACCCCCCAACAATTAAGAGACCCCAGATTCACTACCTAAGTAGGTAGTTTACTGTGTTTTATCTCATTTTGCTCTGTTCATGTTCAATATTTCCAGGCTATTCTAATATACAGTGGCTAATGCTTTTCTTCAAGTATTTCATACCAGTTCGTTGTCTGTCGAGGATCCCGCCCTCATCAAACATCCTTTGACTCAATCATCCCGTTCGCCTGTAAATGCTGCAAGTTTGTCCATTGCGCCCAAAAGTCCATTGCCGGTTGCCGCGTTGAGCTTCCTGAGCCATGCGTCTTTCGCGCATCGCCCAGCGACTTATTCCTCCTATCTATGTACATGAAAAGTAATAATCGTAACAAAAAGAAAAGATACAAGAAAATAAACATGATCCTATCTCAGCTGCCCTCAAGGGTTGACGGTTGAGTTGCCGAGGAAAAAATCAAGATCGCCTCCATGCCCGTTCTGCGATCGATTTTCATTCTCGGCCAGTTGCTCGAGAAGAGCCAGGAACGGATCCTTCTCCTCTCCTGGGCCTGTTCCTGCACTGCCATTGTTGCTTCGTGCTCCAGGGCTTGTCGCTGTCGGGCGAATCTGATTGAGGTGCATCTTGGTATGGCTGTCGTCGCCGTGCCATGCCGCTGGGCTGCCAAAGGCGTTGGTGGGCACTGTTCCGAACATAGCATCATAGCCTCCGTTCGCTTCATTGATCATTCCTGGCCCAGCATTCGTAATGCTTGACCCCGAGCCATAGCTGTAAGGTGGGCTGAAAGGTGCGCCACCCATTGGGTGCATGTTATGAGATGAAACGGCATGCGACGTGGGTGACATGGTGAAACCTGCTGCCGCTGCCGCCGCGACTGCAGCATTGTTTGCGGATGCGTCACCACCCATGTGGTCATGCATAGTGTACATCTCCTGGTTTTCATGATGGGTCGGGATTGAGGTTGGCGTTGCAAGGAGGCCAGGTGATGAATGCGGCATCCCTCCCGACGTATACGAGAACGATCGTCGAGCAGTGCCTGGAGTAGGTAGTCCCGACGCAGAGGGCGCGAGGCTCGAAATAACCTTCACGTCAGGTCGTCTCCGGTTGATAGGTCCTGGTGGAGCTGTGTTCTTGCGCTTGAGGCTGGGTCGCCGTAGTCCGTCGTTGTTTCGGAGGGTGTCTTCAGCAGCTGGTCCAGTACCCATGTCAACTACAACATCTGCAAGGCGAAGATTGGCTGCATCGAAACTGAAAGACGGCCCACCGGGTCCTCCAATGTTGGAATACCGATCGAAGAAATCCTCGCTGTGGAATCCAGGTGTATAGCGCATTAAGCTGCGAGATAGAGCCTTCACCAACTCGCCATGTGCGTGGCTAATGTCTTGAAGTGTCTCGCGTTGATGTTGTATTGTAGCCCAGGCATACCGCAGCTCACTCAAGAACTGCATCTCTCTTGATAGAAACTCTGCTGCCGAGCTGAAGACATTGAACTCGCCTTGGTTCCCTTGCTGACTGTAGTGGGCTCCGTGAACGTGAACTGTTCCTGCTGTGCAGACGCAATATCCAATAAATGCTGGCCAGTCGACAATTCCCGATTGCTTTCCAAGTTGAATTAGCTCCATGATCGCGTTAGCGTGAAGGAAGCACATGTTAGTGGCTTCAATCTGCCAGGATTGATGCTGTCCTGTCTCTGCAAGTTCTGCAAGGTCGATAGGGAGAAACGGTCGGTAAATGAGACAGTGGATCAGGTGGTATATAACTTTGCTGAGCAGGAGGATAGTCGAGTCGGCCTGTCCAAAAAGAGTGCCGAGGTTGGAAAAGACGTCCTCAGTTCCCGAAGCCCAAACATCTAGGTCTTGACGGATCTTGGATATTGTGGAGAGTGTGTGCCATGGAAAGTGAGAGTCACCCTTGACGCCGCCAGCGGCAAGATATCGATTTGTGTTTCCAAGAACACGTGTGATGTCGATGAGCATGCCCATGCTTCCTTGGGGTTTCTTGTCGCTGCCCTGGAAGTACTGGAGGTTCGAGCCTGTTTGGAAGAACTCGCCTTCGACGGGTAGCGAGGATGAGTTAGGCGACCAAGAAGGAAGCCGCAGCATAATAGTATTGTCACTTATTAGGCTGGGTCGCTTCGAGCCGGTTGCTTGAAACCGGTCAAGCAAGTAACAAGTCCAAAAGAGTCGGCGTCGCATCTCGCGTTCAACTGGAGTCATTCGATCCTGCCCGTCAGTTTCCTTATGAATCTCTAGCGCCATTGCCATCCCAGTGGCACTTGCTAGGTCTTATTAGCATCATTGACTGCATCTGGGGCAATGCCGCTGCTTACTCATAAGCATATATGCCTTCTTTCCTTTTCCTGTCGCAGTGAAGGCACTGACCAACAACAGAAGCGCCTGCAATCCATCTATGGATGGCTCGTCGATGTTGATCTCTCGTCTAGCCCGTGCTGCGAGGTCTTCACTAAGTTTGGCAGCCGCTTGATACCCACTAGGGTCGGTGGTATGTCTGAATATGGTCAGCATAGGGGTCTGTGCTATTGGGGGAGAACGAACCTCGCTGCTACGGCTGAAATGGCAAAGGAGAGGAATCGAGGGAGCTGGTTGAGTTGAAGTCTTTGTCGAATAGAGGATTCATCGACGATATAGTATGGCTTCCCATGAAACCTGGCGAAATATGTATCGAGTAAGACCTCGGCTTGGGCTGGTGGGGGGGACAAATCACTAGAGAGCGAGTCAGTCGTCAAGCCAGGATACAAAAGCGACTATAACACAAACCGAGCTATTGGAGTATGCGGAGAAAGTGATGCCGTATCGCCAGGAGATGCACGCGCGTCAACTGTTGCACGTTTGGTTATCGACTCGCCAACTTCAGTGACTTGAGAGCCATTCTCGGAAGCTTCTCCCTTTCCACCTCCTGGCAAATTTGAGCTTGCAAGCGACACATCGTCTTCGCCCTTTTCTCTTAACTTTGCCTCGAGCCCGTCAACTCTTTTCAAAAGTGCTTCCAATACGTCTGTCTTTGGTCCACGCTTTTTGGGGACCGCGTCTGCAGCTGAATTAGCCTTCGCTGCTGGGCAGGGCCGGTACGGCGATGCTGAGGAAACCAAAACGACAGCACACAAGTTGTGTGATGAAATGTCGACTTACCATAAATGCAAGGGCATTGGAACACCTGGCAAGCCTCGCAGGAAGGTCGTAGTCGGTTGCATTTAATCTGTGGCAATGCTAGTAAGAATCATGGCTGTTGCAAACATATCGCAATGTCTCACCTTTCGCTTTCGGCACGACTTGCAGTTCATTGATTCGCGTGGTTCATTACTCATGCGACGAGTCGGAAGGCGCTCAATGCCAACTTGAGGTCGGGGAATAGCCACAGGGTGGACTCCGGGTATGTGAGGAACGTTCATGGCGTCGTATATGGAAGTAGTCATAACTATGCTGGTGCTAACGAGTGAAATTTGCCGGCGATTGAGGTCGTGATTCGGTCTGTTGGTATTGTCTCAAAGAACTTATACCTGAGTAAATGAGAGACAATGATGCGGGAAAGACAAGACAAGAAAAGAATGATTGGAGCGTCGTTGATGAGTTATCAGAAGTCGATCATTCCAAGTGATACCAGATCCAAGCACTCTAGGAGGTGTGGCTTGTTATACCGTGTTAGCTGACAGTATGGGTGTACTGTCAACGCCGACGGTAAGAATAATGATGATGCAGATTGACGGTGGTTGATATGCTCCCAAGAGGCCGGGTAACATAAACAGAAATAAGGACGGACTTGGAAGGAGGAGATCGAGCCTAGAAGTAAGTAAGGTGAGGCGTCTAGAAGATGGGACAGGACCGGTAGTATAATGACTTCGGAGGCCCAGAATTGTACGACTGACCCGGCCGAACCCCAGTCGCCGGTCTCATTCTGGTTGTTGCCAATGTGGAGGTGGCTAGTGACAGGACCGGGGTGCGGGCATGAATGATGAGATGGTGGTGTCGATATTGGGATGGATCATGGTGGGGAAACGGAGCTCAAGATTTGAGTCCCCTTGTGGATGCTGTTTCTGAATGCTGACTCAAGCCTGGCAGACAGGCATGGCTCCCACGAACTTGCAGACCAGCCAATACCAGCACAATCTCTTTTAAGGCAGACGGCGCATCTTGTTGGCGTCTGGACCAGCTGTGCCATTGGAGCGCACAGAGGGGATGGCGACTATGCAGAAGAGTCCTGTAGAGTAGTAACCCCCAAGTTCGCAACCGACAGGCCAAACCCCCAAATGATGGTAACGTATGGGCCCCCAAATGGCCAAACCGGGGAAGGGCATGCCCTGATGCCGTCCATCTTTTCTAAGTACTGTAGCATTACCCGAGGTATCTGTCGATCCTGTCTGCTTTCCTCCGGCTTTTGTTGCTTTTAGATGCTGGACAGGCACGGATTTGTGTCTTGATCGAGGTTGCGTACTCGGTCTCGTTCCCAAAGGTCCTCTCGGCCTTGCTCCCACTAAATGATCCTGAAAAGCGGATTCCTCCTCACACCAGATTAGACATATGTTGCAAGGACTAGACTAGTACATACAATACGTGCGTACGTCCTCAGTTATGCCAGGGGACACCAGGCCATGCCATGCGGGTCCCAAGTTCCATGACCAGAAACTCGGGCTCATGTTAGCGAAAGTGGCAGGGACCAGGTCGACAGCGATTATGAACGTCTTTCTGACAATCTTCGATACCTAGGCTTGCTCGACTGTGTATGCATGTACTTGATTCTGCAACTGTCAAAGCAGCAAAGGTACCAGTCGATATGGAACTGCTTCAAGTTGACAGTTCGTGTTCTGCAGCTTTGAATGTCCCAGTCTCCGGCTTGACATTCATCAGTAAAATCTGTGATTTTAGTCCAAGGCACATCGGGATGTTCTTCTTTAGGTAAGATGGGGTTTTCTTTCTTTCTTCATTGATAAGCTGAGGCTAACCAGGGGCAACGATCAAAGATCAGAGGTCAAGGTCTATCAGTGCCGGACCGACCCAGAGCTACGGGTCTATATTCTGTCCAGGACCTGGGTAAGTACACAGATGCCCGTTAAGTGTAGGTGCACGCAGCATCTGGCCCTAGGGCTCAAAGGAGCCTTTCAGACGAGGCGAGTAAGGCGAGAAGCGAGACTTGCGATAGGATATGGGTTGGATCGAGAAGGCTTCGGGTGTGTCTAATGTGGGCTAGATTGGTGAGTTGTCTAGGTAAGGTAAGGTAAGGCAATGTAACAAGAAAGAGGTGAAGATGGTCCAAGCTCTTGGTTCCTGCCTGTCATTTGGTGGCGCTGTCCATGCCTCCTTCCATTTGGACGGCATGCTTTCACACAGGGCTCCTGTCTGTCAGACTTTCTCTGACAGCGGCAGCGATGAATGAACAGAAGTGGAGGCAATGGAAGTCAGGCACTACCTACCTAGAGACTCCCGTAAGGTACCTGAATTAGCGGACGCTTCGCTTAAGCATAGCGGGAACAGCGTTGTTTGGGGCTTGACTGGGGCTGGTAAAGACCCTGTCTTGACAATGGAAACTACCTAGGGGCCGGCGGGGACCGAATGGAACGGACGACAGCCAGTGCAATTGCGATAGGTTAGTAGCTGCTTGTGCTTTTTTGGTGAGCCTGAAACTCTAGAGCGAGGATCTAGGAGTTTCTGTCTCAAACATGGAAGCTTTTGTTGTCGTGGTCGACGTCCTAAGCAACCATCGCACGACATCCATCCAATGGCGTCACGTTTTATCGCATACATGCACCTGCATACAGTGTTTCAAAGACGCAACTGAAGCCTGAAGGCTCCGCATAAACAACCCAGACAAGAATAGGTCCACCGGATTTGGCCTCGCTCCTCTGAATTGGTAGAAAACATGACCAAAACCATCAAACAGCTGAGATCAGCATCGGGCTTCTCTATCGTTTCCGCGAAGGACTTACAGACCGCTCGTTGGCATTGGATCCTAGTTATGTATCATCTCAACTAACCGATGGCCGTTGGTTGGTACCCTCGATTAGTGACAGGATCCTAGCTAGGTGCTTGGAACCTGGGTATCCTTATCAATATCTGGCTCTCCTAAGTCGCAGTGCGTCGTTCCCGTACGGGTTGCTACCTCGATTCTCTTTGTCCAGACTTATTTCATCGTCTGGGTCTCCTCTCTCACCATCAGTGACAGGCGACGACATGTATCGTATCCTCAGACGGCCCTTTCGAATCTCCAAGATGATCTTCCTTTCCTTCTTCCCCTGGCCAGGGCGCATAGCAACAGCAACTCCGGACGTGTGGATATCTGCGGAGAAGTTCTTTCGTCCCCCTTGTAGTTGCTCCTGGCTCGACCTATTGTTACCAAGCGGAAACTATCCATAAGAATTGGTGTCCACAGTTCGGAGCTGCATAATCTAAGCTTTCAAAAGTCGGCCGAGAGACTAGCGGGAGCAATAAGAATTCATGAGACTTCCTAAGCGCCACGCTCTACCCAAGTTGGTGGGATCTAGCGGTTGCTATTGTTGTTTATCAGGGTCATTTCCATTAACGCTCAGTCCTCATTCCTGTGTCTCAGGGGCTCTACGGCACTAACTGGTTATAATACGACGAATGTTCATCCTCCCAGCTTGACGTGAACACTCCAACGACACTCCACTCCGGCCGAGATGTCCCCTGGCACGTAGCAGGTTCAACGGAGCCGCGAGGAGCTATCGGCAACACCCTCCTCGCATTTCGATCTAGCTGAACTCTTCGGTTTTTTCTCTCGTTCTCGGAGCACCCTTGAAACTGGTCAGCAGGGCTGACTATCAACTAAGCTAAGTCTCATGATTTGGGGATCGATACTGTACTGGCCCTGTTATAGAAGTTCACAACTATATCTTCAAAAAAAGCAAACAAGACATGGACGCATCGGACCTGCATATGTGGGGGATATACCAGAATCTTCGGCAGCCACAAACAAGGCTTATTTGAAGAACTGGCGCTTCACCATTCTCTATGATCGGGGCTGAGAGATGGGGGAGGACTATACCTATCTAGTCTCCTACTGTCCTTCTTGTAAAGTTTGGCCCCTCCTTTCCGCTTCATAGGCCATAGGCTTCGAGTCGTCATGAGGCTACTGACATCCTAGCAGGCCTAGCTAGTATCAGCGTGTGGTGCGTGCTTTTTTGCACTTCTCATGGTACATCGGCTCTGTCCCCCGATTTGGACCTTGAGGCCGCTTGAAACCTGGGTTTGTGCATGGGTTTCTCAGTATCCTTGTCAATCCACGTTTAGGTGGCTCTGCCTCTGCCGCACCAGACCTCGCCTCGGCACCCTGTCCAAACCTCTCGAACTCTGCTATTGTGACGCGGTGCTAATCGTCAATGTTCACACTAAAGACTGGCCAGTGCTTGAAAGTGTGGTACGTATAGTCAATACCGAGTGCATTGAAGCTTGATAAATAGGCTAAACCCAACAGGTTCCCGGCTTGCGAAGTCTCCACGGCTGTTTGGACCAGAGCTTGGCGCGGTGGTTTTCTAGAAGGACAGTGTGCAGGCCTATCAATGCCGGTTCTCACTGGCCTTTCCTGTCTCTACCGGGTACATCCACTTTACCCCGGGTGCTCGATTCGTACCCGGTATATGGAGTAGATTGTCCAAGTATCGAACCATTCTCACACTCCCAAGTCTTGAGCCTGACGACTTTTGTCTTTGCTGAGCTAACTAGCACACGAAAAGCCAGCCTGAGTGGCTCACCTAAATATGAAACCAGTCCCGTATTTGGATGTGGCTTGTTTGAGATCATCGTCTTCACTTTCACAAACAAATGACGTGAACTTTAGCACTTCTTGGTGGCCTTCTTGGTGGATTGCTGAGTTTCTGCTGGGCCTTACACGAAAACATATGCTCTAATTGCTACAACCTCAGCTCTGGGTTTTGCACTAGTTCAGTGTCTTCTGTCGGGGTAGAGGTGAGAGCGGGTAACCCACAGAGCGTCGAACACTTGCGTATCACGAAAGGCTATATCCATATCCATATACCTGTTACAGGACACCAAATTATCTCCAGTCAATGATAAACGTCTGTTATCAACATCATTGTTGGGACCTATCATGTGCGCTATGGCAACTCATTCAAGAGCTATCCAAGATCTTGGCTCACGAGGATACGATACTATCGGCAACATGAGATGGGTTACAATATAGAGCTTGGTTACGGCGAATAGCTGTGGTGTACAACTGATCAGTACATCTTATATTCACCCTATGCTCTACGAAGTCGACTTGGGTGCTCTCAGCTGCTCAGTCGTTGTTTCAATACTGCAGCTCTTAGGCTCTAGCTCATTATCAGCACTTGCAATTCCTGCCCAGTTCCGCACACCTAATGGCAGCCAGGTCCATGACAAACAGACAGGATACAAACTCACAGTGGTTCCATTCTCCACC